ACATACATACGTACGTACCTACCTACCTGCCTGCCTACCTACCTACCTACCTACCTACCTACCTACCTACCTACCTGCCTACCCACCTACCTGCCTACCTCCTACATACCTACTTACCTACCTAACTACTTACCTACCAACCTACCTACCGACCTATCTGCCTACCGACCTACCTGCCTACTTACCTACATACCTACTTACCTACGTACTTACATACCTACAGACCTACATACCTACGCACATGCATATAACTGCACATGCATATGGAGCTGCATAAGGACATGTTGATACACGCATACATCCGTCATACATCCGTGCAGGCACATGTGCCTTTATGCGTGCATGCTCGCACAGGCACAGATATGCATCAATATCCTCTCGTGCTGGCCTCTCTCTCTCTCTCTGCCTCCGTCTCTCTCTCTCTCTCTCTCAACTAGCGCTCTCATGATGTAGTACACCGCGCTGTCGAGTTTTATTTCCTGATCTCTAGCCTGAGATCTAGATCAAAAGCTCGGAATCGCCCAGCCCAAATGCCTGATCAGGCCGGGGAAACAAACCACACGCTGCTGCTCCGATGTATGCGGCTCGACGGGCTCCTCTTGCAGCCAGAGAAGCCGGCGACGGCCATCGACGCGGTCTTCACGCAGTCGCTGCAGGAATTCGTGGAATAGGGTTTAGGGTTACGGTTGAGGGTTGAGGGAATAGGCTTTAGGGGCAGGCATCCGTGAAAAGGAGGGCTGTTTGCCTTGGGAATGATCTCCCGAAAGCTCTTTGACTCCCGCCCGTGACTGTGGCAGGCCAGGGCAGTACCTGTTCCTGGATTGATCTGGAGCACCCTCAGCCGTCTGGAAGGTCAATTCTGGCACTACGCCCTCTCCATCGACCTCCACCAGCCTTGGCGATTGCAGCCAGAGGATTTCTATCCTGAGATAGACCTGGCCCGGAGATGGGTGGCAAGGAGATGGCACAGGCCTGGCTTTTTCTTGCCTGTCATGCATGCATGAGGCATTCATGCTTGGATTGCGGGAGTGCTTCATCTCCGAATTTTGGCAACTCTTCTCCTCGAAGCTCTGTGCTTTTGGCTGATCCACGTCTCTGCTTCCTTGCGACTGAATCCTGCTCTCACAGGGGGTTAGGACGCGATTTCGGAACTCAAAACCCTAAACCCTAAACCCTAAACTCGGAAAGAAGGCGAGCGGAGGTCTTCAGGCTTCGGTATGCCCTTGTTGACCCTTGTTGCAGGGACCATCATGCGAATGTGTGCGCGAACGGGTCGGACGCGGAAAGCTCCGGATGTGTTTTCGGAGAGATCCGGTCGGCAGACGACTTCCCTTCTATCCTGAACGACCGTTCCTTTGTCATAGTTGGGTAACATTTTAAATTTTTAAGGGTACTTAAACCCAATAAGGAATATACATTTAAAAAATTTAATACTACCCCAACCATGAACTAGGTTCCCTCATGGTTGAGAACGACACTCACCATTTCGACTTGTGGCAGTTCGCCCCTGTCGAGGACACCCGAAACCCTGCCCTGCAAGCCTGGAACAGGAACCCCTAAACCCGACACCCCTAAAGCCCCAAGCCCTAAACCTGTAAAGCCCTAAGTCCTCAAAACCCTAAACCCTGAACCCCAAAAGCTAAATCCTCAAAACCCTAAACCCTGAACCCCAAAAGCCCTCAACCTTAAGCCCTAAGCCCTGAGCCCTGAACCCCTAAAGCCCTAAACCTTAAACCCTAAGCCCTAAGCCGAAGCCCTGAGCCCGGAACAGGAAGCTTCAGGCCCGATTCAACTCTTGATTTTAGGGGTTTAGGGTTCAGGGTTTAGGGCGCTGTGGAGGACAACGGCTGGGTCTTCCTGGGGGAGACAGGAAAATATGTGACTAGGTTCCCGAGTAGTACCTTTTTGCCTTCCTTTATTCTACTACTAAAACTGAACAACAGGAAAAAGGGGTACCTGAAGGGTTTACTCGGAACCTAGGTGAGCGTCAGCAGCAAGCGCTTCAGTCGCGTGCGGCCCTTGCAACATGGACTGCTCGTCACCTTGGCCGGAGTCATCGGAGAGGAAGTTTGGCTGACCGCCCTGATGCCCAAAAGAAATGGTTGGACCGTGCTGGAGAAGCTTGTGAAGCTTGAGCATACAGTGGCTGTTGTAGCTCTTTCTTCGGAGCCTTCCGAATCCTTCGAAGATGTCTTGCAAGTGTAATCCAGAGGCCCCGGAAACTCAGCCAAGAGGTGCGTTGTCTTCAGAATTAGGCCCGCGAACGTCGAGAGTTGAAGGCGGCGACAGAGCTCAGGAAGCACTTCCCAAAGTTGTTTCAAGAAGTCAAGGAAGTCGCCAGTCGCAGGGCGTCAAGTTTCGGTGCGTTGGAACCAAAGCGTTCCATCCTCATCAACGCGACATCTGCAGCAAGCGCGGCTTTCAAAAACCTGTTGCTGCTGGGCTGTGGACCCAATCCCTAAACACTGAACCCCTAAACCTTGAACCCTGAACCCTAAACGCTAAACATCGTAGTGGCGGGGCCGTCGTGTTCAGTTTTCCTGTTCCTGTCTTCTTCGATTCAGCGGAGGAGCGATCGGAAACCTTGGGGAACGTGAAGTACCGATCAGTGCTCTTGAAGAACCCGATTCTGCAAAAGCACTGTAGAAGCCTAGTTCTGTAACCTTTATCATACATATATATATATATATACACACATATACATGTATGTAAATACATAAATAGCTCTCTCTCTCTCTCTATATATATATGTATACATACATACCTATGTACATATATATATATATATGTACACAGAACCCCAATGAAGTCTGGTAAAACCCGAAATCCAGCAATTACAGAACCCACGTAGAACCTTCATACAACCTTTAACTCCAAGCAAACCTAGACCCCAAACCCTAAAACCGAAACACCAGCAGACATGTTGTTTTTGGGACCCTTGAAGATTCCAAAATGACCGAAGTGATCCAACACGTCACTGAAGATCGGCTTTTTGTTGCCCGCCAAACCCGACCACAATCGCCAAACCTGCTTCAAACCCGTAACAGCCTGACACGTCTAGAATCCTAAAAGCCAGCGGTGGAATTGCTCGCCAGTCTGATGAGAGCCCCAGGTACCAAACCACATACCGAGGCAGAGCAATATAGGGGCCGTAAAGTCTAAAACCCTGACTACAATACAAACTGCGAATCCGGAACCTTGTCCTAGCTATTGTCCCTGAATCCTTTTGAGTCAGACCAGACTTGCATCGTTGGGCCCTGGCTTTCGGGATATTAGGTCTCATTTATGGTGTAGAGTTTAGGGTTTATGCTATAGGATATATATATATATATGGTGTTTTATGGATGTCGAATAAGCTTTTGGTTGAATGATCTAGAGTAGTTTCAATTCAGGCCTTCAGGCTTTAGGGCTAGGATTTAGGGTTTAGGGTAGCATTATCTTGCTGTAACCCTAAACCCTAAACTGAAACCACAATCTTTTTTAAATCCTCTATACTATGGGGCTGTGAACCAGGTCCTCGCAGTTGAGGACTCCGTTTCTCCGAGCTCTTTGTTGAGTTTAGGCTTCTTATAAGGGTTTAGGGTTTAGGGTTTAGGGCCTGAAAACAAGAACAGTGTGTTGGGGTATGTTCGAATAGAATCTTACAGGGACCATGAGGGGATATGATCATGAGAGTCAGTACTTCTTCCTCCCCCTACGTTCGGCTTGGGCTGGGTTTAGGGTTTAGGGTTTAGGGTTTTGTTGATGATCAAAACCATCAGTCGGAGCTTGCTGTTCGCTAAGCATGCCTGCCATGGCGCCGAGCGTTCTCTTTTTCCACTCACATCACAGTACACGCGAAACGTGAAGTCTGCAATGACGGCATGTACAAGTTTTTTGTCACTGCTGTTGCCTTCACTTTAGCTGCGGTTTCTTTACATGCAGCATACATGACCCAAGGGGATTGTCTCGTAGCCTTCCCTGAAGAGATGCGGCGATTCCATGCACCATCTTTTCACACTCCTCCTCAGGGACGACGTCAGTCTTCTCTGGCTCTAGCGATTTTTCCAAGCATGGATCGTCCTTGAAGCCATCTCCTTTGTTGAGATGTCCTGGAGGCTGAGCAGTACTTTTCCACTCGGATCGTGATGTCTCCAAAGCCATAGTAGATATCGTAGCTGCTTCGAAGTAGCACCAAATCTCAACATATCGGGACGTAGAAGAACTTGTGCCATTCGCCTTGCTAGATCTTCCTTAAGACCCGTAGTAGAAAGTCCGTGATAACGAAGGCCTGCACGTAGTTCTTCGCATCGCATAAGCATGATCACATCAACCAAGACCCGTTCTCTCTCTCTCCAGAGGGCTCACTTCCTTGTGAATCTATTGATCCCTGTGACCATTGTCCTGGTGACGCTGTCATCCAAGCATTCTGCGATCCCATTGCTATCGCAGGTGATGGAGTTCTTCTTTCTGTGGTCCGTGGAGGGGTAGTAGACCTCTGTCGATCCATAACTCCTTGCGAAGTTCTTGCCATCATCGAAGTCCTTGTCTGAACCTCTTCCTGAGACCCTGTAGTCGCCTGCGGTTGCTGACCCCTTCCCTGTAGCTCCTGCGTAAAGGTAGTAGATGATGTCGTTGATGCCTGCTCCAGCCCCTTAGCTGCCCTTCTGTCCAGTTCTCTTTGAATTTCTCTGGCAGTTGCATCACGCAGCTTCTCAAGGCGCCTCAGCTTCCGCGCTGAACCCCCTGGTGCCCAATTGCAAGCCTCCTTGAAGACATACTTTGCTACCTCCCAGCATACCAAGCCACCCAAGATCATCAGCAACACCATCATTGTACCAGCTAAATCCCAGTCCACTTCCAACCGTGTTATAGACTCCTTCGGACTTGCTTCTGCTGACACCATAAGCATGCAACAAACCAACGCCACCAATACTTTCGACACAGCTGCCCTTGACATAGTCGCCGCAATCCCCTTGTCCCGGTTCTGTCCATCTCTCACACCCCATATCGCCAGTAGATCACGTAGTCGCTGACTTGATAAAGCCTTTGTAGGGAGATCTGCTGGTTGGCGTATTCCCGGAACATGTATTGTCGTCAAAGTTCCTGCCGCTAGGGCCTCCTGCAACCAGCTCGCCTTTATCCTCAAGTGCCTTGTCCTCCAGCTTCCCGTGCCCGCCGACAAGCTCAGTGCGCTCATAGAATCTGAACCTACCAC